AAACTCTCTGAGATCCTGAAGGGAGGATAAAGCTACATACCATGCTTTCATCTGCAACCAAATAAGTGGATACTTGCTTGTGTACCTTCTTAAATAGGTTGGTCATGTCTAATAAGGGCTTGAGTAAGTCCCAGCTGTTTCTGTTTAAATTTGTGTTTCCAGTATCAATAATTCCRTGCACCTAAGGCTGCAGTACTGGTGGTAGGATGTGCTCTGATATGGATCATCTCTTCTGTATTTATTTATTTATTTCTACGTTTCAACTGCCAACTGCTTCCCCTACACCCTCCCACCTCTTCCATTCCTGGTAGTAATGCAAGATGAACTGTATGTAGTCATGCACTTTGTATTAATGTATTAGAAATCTATGGAACCTGTTTTGTACTTTTATACTGTTCAGATACTTGTAATCCAAACTTTTTTTACTAGGGTAATAAATTTAGACTTATTTAGAAAATGAACATTTCTCTTCTGTTTATTTACCTCTGTTAATTGGACGCAGTCTTTGAAGCAGCTCATGTGATCCATGTCTCASTTTGAACAAGAATTTAAGACTTTGTTTATAAAAGGAAGGAAGATAAGTGAAGATAACATGAAGCAAGAAAACTATTATTTGAAAAAAAGTGATTTTTAATTTGTGAAGAGGAGCAGAGCAAGGGAAGGTTATGTTGCCCTCTGGGATAGCTAGCTTTCCCATGGCAGAACTGCAAAGCTTGCCCTTGGCACACAGCATGTGCCTAGAAGGTGTTTCTTCACTTGAAATGGGCAGCAAGGAAATCTGGGGGTTTCTGGTGGTCTAGCTCGCTCACCATTGAGTAGAGGCGGTAACTGCTAGAAATCTGGTGCTTTGCAAGCATATGCAAAAACTGTTCTCTAGATCCAGTCAAGTGGGTGGACAAGCATGGTCTGAAGCTGGAGCCTGGCCTGGAGTGTCTCTTATCATGACAGGTAAAATCAGCAGCATAAGCCCTAGCAGACTGGTGGGCTCAAGGGCTTCTGTCAGAAGATGGCTGTAAGTCACTGAGTTTAGAAGACAGGCTATTCCCTGACAGTGTGGAAAGTGTTGCCAACGTTAGCATGATAGTTTGTTGTGAGATACTGTGCCGAGCTTCAGTGGGGTTACACTTGATTTATTCCTGCTGCAATAGTGGTGCTCTCCTATAAATTGAATGGGATGGTATCCCAAGGTTGATATCAAAGTCACTTCAGTGAAAGCCCTTCATAGACTGCAAGATTTAGTAGCTTGTGATCTTGAGTACAGTGTGGTATCTTGGGCATATTCATATTTTCTGCTGTAGGTGCTTAGGAGTATCCTGGGCGCAATTTAGTTTCCTTTGGCTGAGTGTCGCTGAAGGAGAGTAGGTGGACCACAAGGTTATTTAAGGCATCTCACTTAAGTATGACTTTCTCTGTAGCTCGTACCTCCTTYCAAGTAACTTCAATCTGGTTTCACTTCTGTGACTGCAGGTGCTGTCTGGGTAACTTGAGGGTGCTTTAGACGCTGTTTTTAATGGGCAAAGTGCTTTCTGCATGAGGCAGGAGGGTTAAGGGAGGAGTATAGCTGTGGAGATGAAAGATGCTCCTATGGGGACATGARGGAGATGGGGATGGCCATCCTAGGGCAATGTGCAATGAGTCTAGGATGCAAATTCCTGGGTAGAGAGCTGTATGTCACCTGAATCAGCTGTCACAAGTGTGACTACTACTAAAAACAATAGCGTGATACTAGTAGTGTCCAAATAGCCTTTTGTAAGGCAGCTTTATATCAACTCTGAAGACAAGAGAAAGGAGTTTGGTGCTGCTCCTAAGGTGACTTTTCTGGAACTTGCCGCTAGACATGAATAGACTGCAGATATCTGAAGCCTGGGTTCATCTGTGTTGTCAACAGAGCAGATTTGGTTTTGTGTTGTGCTGTGTGGCAGCTATTTTTACTCTTGACTCATATGCTGTGACTTAGACCCCAATGAGCCTGTGCCATATGGTGCTATCCATTGCCATCAACTAAATGGTTGCAGATCTTCCAGTCTGATGTAGTATAAGTACTTTGCTTAGTGTCACTTTGAGGAAAAAAGTGGAGGGGAGGGAATGCTGTAAGAAGGTAAAAAACCTCTGTCTATACATGGGGCTTACAAAAGTGTTAAGGTATCTGTTGCTCCCTGTCCCTACTCAGTTGGCACCAGGTATTGAATTAGCCTTTATCTGTCCAGGTGATACCCCTTGCTCCCTGGGTGGGTGAGTGCAGCTGGTATTCCMCTGGAAAAGTACACCTTCGGATGTATTTTTGACAGAGTTACATGGGTGCTGCAAGAAGTTACATGACTGGGCCTAAAGAGGAAGTAAAATATTCTGAGAAACAAAGTGGTGTGTGGAACCCCATTATTCCCAAGGCTGAAAATACAAGTATATATGACTATGTATAACGTATTTTAACGTGTATACAGGGAGGGCACGTGCGCCTAGCTGCCTCTCATCGCGCGCTCGCGGTGCGCTAGGCCCGGGCGCTGCCATGGGAACGGGCGGGCCCCGCGCGCGGCGCCGCCCCGCGGCCGCCAGGGGGCGCTGCCGCCGCCCCGCGGCGCGCGAGGCGGGAAGGGTGACCCAGGTAGCGGGAAGCGTGTCCTGGTCTTGGAAGCGGCCCCCTGACCACACGGGCAGCAGCGACCTTGTCATGCCTCCTCCTTGGTCGTGACGCTCCCGCTTGTCGGGCTGTGGCAGTGGCCGAGTCACTCGGCAATATCCAATTCCATTTGCGGGGCCAGCAGGGTGTGATTCCAACTCATAAAACAGGAGAATTAATCTCCTCTCCACCCCCCGCCCTTATCTCCYAGCTTTTCTCCTCCCCAAGCCACAGAGTGAGCAAAGCGGTGTGAGGAGCAGGTTTGGATGCTGAGATGCGCTTTGGGTTTCGAGTATTTGGTTACTTTCGGTCTCAGGGAAGCGCAGCTGAGCAAAGAGATAAAAATGCTTTTGCCTGGGGAAACCCCAGGCTTGTGACCAAGCAGCATCTCATGATTGTGGGACTTCCACTGTGGTGTGCTTCCCCCGTGGAGTGCGGGACTTCCACTGMCTTCATGGTTTGGAGATGACTGGGAAAATCACCAATGAGAGAGAGGCTTGGGAGCTGCAGAAAGCTGGTCTGTGCTGCTCGATCTTGCTGGCTGGATTAAGAGGGGTGTGCTGGGAAGGCGACGTGCCAACCCTGAAGAGCAGAGATGCTCAGTGTCACGTCGGTACAGGCAGCTCTTCCTCTGCTAGGTCGCCATGTCCCTGCAAAGCACTTAACCCGTTTCAGCTGCTGCTTTGCCTGTGGAGAAGAGTGTGCTTAAACCCTGCAAGAAGAGGGAGCAGAAAGCACTTTGATTTCAGGCAGTGCCCCACACAGGTCAAGGACTGGTCCTGCTTAAGCCAGTGTGCTTGCGGACACCACCAGACACMGAGTTGGGCTTGGCCTTGCATCCTCCAATTAATCTGTGCTCTGGAGGTTGGTGCGGTGTTGGGCAGACCCCGCAGCTGCTGGGCCTTCCAGAGCACGCTCTGAGAACTGCCTCGCGCTGCCGCTCTCCTTCAGCCCTCCCATCCCCGCTACAGGAAAAAAATAGTGTTCCTGGTCGGGAGAGGAGGTTGTGTCAAGTTTGGTGACCAGGAATCAACTGGTTCCATCAGCGTTGAAACTCTCCAAGCAATGTTCCCACATTGCCAGGCCCCGTGATTCCCACTCCTGTTGACCTGAGTTCTCTTTTTTGCACCCCTGCCCATCTGCATGACTGTGCTAGGGCTGGTACCTCTGTACAGGGTAACCTCAGGCGGATGGTTACCCTGTAAGGACACAAGTTGGAGCAGCCTCTTCCTCTGATGGCCAGCTGCCTATAAGCAAGTGGTCCAAAAGACAGGGGACACTGTAGCACTCCTCCCCTAGCTATGATCAAACTCCGACTATGGACAAGACCTTAAATAAAAGGCATAAAAGTGTGAAACACTTATTTTTTCCTAAGTAAGTCAGAGCACCGGAGATGTGATTATAAAATAATAAAAACTTCATTATTTTTGAGAGTTGTCATCCAAAGTTTCTTGTAGCAAACCTGGGCACCTTCGCCCTGGCTAGGAGGGGAGGTCAAAACTAAGAACACGGGAACATTAGTGTTGTTATAGCAGTGCCTTGTAGCAACATTTTCATTAAGGACCTCTCAAGTGTTTTCACATAAATTGTTATTTTCAGATGGTAAAACAGTCATAAAATTTACCTCCTTGCTGATACTAGGTACTTAAGGTCTAAGACTATCAGCACTTCAGTCAATCAAATTTCTGCTTAAGGCAGAGTCCTGAAAATCTTCCCATTTATTCTGATTTAAGTTTGCATTTTTTATAGTCTCTGTACTTTAAAACACAGAGTAGTTCTGAGTKAAATTATTTGTAACGTGCATACTCTATAGGTTTTCAAATTAAATGCAAATCAAACAGCAGGGTATTTGATTTAATATCTTAAATTTTTCTTTCCTTGAAGAAGGAGCTGAGTGCATGTGGTGGGTGTGGAGCACACACGGATGCACTTTGCTTTGAAGATGCTCAGAAAGCCTCTTTGGTTGGGAAAGAGCCTGACAGTGGGATAGCAAGCGGCACAGAGCTAGCGCAARGAAGCCATTGAGCAGCCCTGAAACAAGTGCACAAATATGAAGAGAATAATGTTTGCACCTGGGTGAAAATCCATTGCTGAGCTGAGCTTTGCACGCAGATTCATAGCTAG